GGCCCCCTCCGCGGGGCTGGCCCGGCGAGAAAGCTGCCCCGAGAGGCTGCGAGCCCAGAGCTTTTGTTTCCGACCAGCACGAACCAACCACTTCCTGTCAGCAAGGGAAAACAAACCCGGAGCGCTCCCAGCGCTATCGGTAGAAACAGATTTCCATGTCATTGCTGTGGATGAATCTTTTTATCAGCACAAGAGGAAAAATAGAATCTACCGCGATGACCACAAATCATTTACCTGTAACGAACCTGGGGCATCTTTCACAGGCTGCCTTTCAGCTCTTACCAGAGCCCAGGCTGGGAACACTCATCAATCCTACAGAATTTTGGACTTGAAATAATTAAAAATCACAGTCTCACACATTCAATTTTCAAGATCACTATTTAAGTATCTAATAAAATTCCTAATGAAAAACGAAAGAGAAGTAATCTCCTGCAGTATTTGAGGTCCCACCAGACCAGAATTAGGAATCTGAGGATAAAAGGATTTAGGAAAGGCTTACTGATGTTAAAAAAACCCTCATGGTTTTAAGTAAACCAGTTAAGAATCCTCTACCCCAATTTTCAGTGTTGTTTACAATGGCAGGGACATAAAATTGAAAAACATTTTTAAATCCATAGGGAATTTAGAAAAGGGAAAGAATTATCCTAAGAAACAGATACAAGTTCTTTGGACTCCCCCCTCCTCCCCCCCAGTATCAGAATATATGTTATTAAACAAAGTGACCAATCAACTAATAAGTATTTTTACCTACTTCACCCACACCTCCCAACCCCCAAAAACACACAAATAAGTATTTTTCAAGAATAAGAGTTCTGGAAAATATTTAGAGTTCCCTCTCCTGCTTTCTGAGGCTGCTGAAGGGTGACAGAAATCAATGCAGCAGGAAAGCATTCTTGCTCTGCTCCTGACTTTTAGATACACCACAGGTCACAGAAAAATCAGACCAGGTGCTATTATCTCTGTAAACAAAACTGCAATGCATGTTGCAGATCTGTACCTTGTTAGTCTTGCCTTAGTTTCCAGACAGCAGTGCCAAGACTTAAAACCTACAGACTTCCCTGCTCCTCCTGCCTGCCCAGCACTCCTGGGAAGCACAGGGTAGGTGTGAGGCAATGCCTGCAACCAAGGCTGGCCTTTGGACTGAGATAAGATTTGAACAATTTACCTTCTGTGTTGGATGCAAGTCCAGTGCCTCTTCTGAAGATTTGTCACAGCTGTAAGCTTTTTGTGCCAGACCTGTAATGCTGGCCAGCAGCTTGCTTTCATATGACATTTTATCAAGATTCTAAAGTAGAATTTAAAAAACTAGCCTGTTCCAAAGGCATTTGATCTAGTTACATTATCCAGCCTAGCACGTGGAGCTCAGCTAACTCAGAAAACTTCTCTTGGAAGCCCACGTGAGCCACTCCTAACAAGAAAAACAAAATATACACAATTATATGCTTTTCCTCATTCACCTCTTTTTCATCTCTACTTACAGGACTATTTCAAGTGTATTCCATACTATTTAAGTGTACTCCACACTATCTATTAAAAATAGATTGTAACATACAAAAACCATGATACCATTTTCTTTATTAAAAATAATTTACAGCATTGGTAACATTTTATGCACAATTGTCAATTGAACTTAAGATAGATCTATACAATACTTATTGAAATCAAAACTTACACTGTTCCGTTGGCTTTAAACAGCAGACATTGATTTGCAGTTGCTTACATGTTTAACATACATAGCTTCATGTCTTTATATTCAGGTGTAAAATGTATAAACATCAACACTATCCCAAAGCTCCGCTGCTTGGGAGGGAAAGGGAGGAAAAGGGGGCACAAGGACAGAAAAATATTTAGAAAAATTGGAACACATTCTTCTCCCAAAACCAAATGAAGAGAATTCTAGGTTAAATACAATCTAACACACTGAGTCACTTCTTCAAAGAGGCATTTTTCCTCCTACGCTTTAAGATACTCTAATGATGTCTTAATTGAACAATGTTGTGTGTGATCACAGCAATCCTCTGACTGTACCTTGTTCTGCCCCTGCCAGAAAGCAGGTGGCACTCCTGCCCAGCTACTGCTCCCAGGATCCTAGCAGGCTGTTCAGTCAGAACGTCCTCCCTTTGCCAGTGGCTTGTTGAACTGGGCTGCACAACGTTCACTGCTGCACAAGGGACAGGCGACAGGCACATGAGCATGGATAACCAGGCAAGTTCCTGCACCAGCAGGTCACTACCCCGTGAGAAGCAGGAGGTGGGGACATGAGCACAGTTGTTCCTCACAGCACCCACTCCACTGCAGACATAGAGATCCAATGGGCACAGACAGCCTGCACATCTCAGACACTCCCCAGCTTGGCATATTTAGGGCTGCACCCACTGCAGCAACAGCAGGAACCTAACCTTGAAAAGCAGCTGTGCCAGAGCTCAGCTCAAAAGCTGTCCTTTCATTGATTTTAAGACACAGGTGTGCAGCAGAACTAAAGTAGTTGCTATGGTAATGAAATGCATCATCTCTCTGAAGAGAGGACTAGCTTTGTTGCAGGAAAGTCACACCCCTTGAAATTGCACTTAACTTGACACTACTGGTTTACCTTGCCATGGCTGAGATCACTGTCTCCTTCTGAAGTAACAAGTGTTCCTGCACTGGAGAGGGTGGGAGGCTGTGTTCAAGCACTAGGAGTTACACAGGTTTTAAATCAGCTTTTATCATCATCTGCATGAGGCATCATTATGTGCCAGCACTAAATTCCTTTTTGCTCCCCAATAATGAACACTTGAACATTTTCTTAAGCTGAAATCAAGAACACACCTTTGAGCTGGAATAAAAACAACCAGGATTAGACATTGTTGTACAAGAAATAGGATCTGCTCAACAAATCTGGATAAAATCGGCAAAAGTACTACAGAACAGAAAGTCATTCAAGCATTCAATTGAATATAGTATTCAAAAATGCATTGACTTATCACCGAATCAGTGGTAGGAGTCACCAGAATGGTATTTATCTTGGGTAAAATAACATCACAGCAAAATCATGTGAAATATAAAACCAGATTATACAGCACTTCAAACTATAGGAAACTTTGTCCAATAACATAAAATAGGTGTTTTAAAGTTATGCCAGTGAAGTCAAGCTAAACCTGTATTCAAACTGTCAAAAATACATTCTAGTGATAATTATGACAGGGATGGGTTTTTTTTTGTGTGTGTGTCTGTTTTTAAAGGAATGTCAGAAACACACTATTTGAAGATTTGAACAGTGCAACTCTTAGTTTGCAAGTCAACTAGCTTAGTGTCTGTTTATAAATTGAGAGCATAGGTAGTAAAGCTCACATAATCCTCTTGAAAATTTTGGTGTTTAAGACAATGTTTATCAAGAATAAAAAAATCTTAAAGCAAAATCTTGAGAACTTAGAGGCAAGTTATTGCAGTTTTGGTCTCCAAAAATAAATTAACCTCTATGTAAACTGTAAGCAGTCCTATGAAGCTTTTCAAGACACAGGAGCAGGGAAATAGCATCTTGAAGCTGCAGACTCACCTGCACAGATGAGAAGCTAGTCAATGCCAGTTTAAGGGGAAAAACAAGCACCTCTGCAGGAACTGAGCATCTTCTATTAATATTAAATGCAGAACAAAGTTTTTACTATCAATGTGCTGACAAGTAAAGTTATACAAATTGCAATGGGCTAAGAGCCAGATTTGTTCAGGAGTCTGGGATCTTGAGCAGGGGGCTTTTGATGCCTGTTCAGAAGAGCTGTAAACTACCAGCACATTAGGAAGCACTACAAGGCAGTACAGCTACCTCAGTTGTGTAACATTTAACAAGTACAACTTAGTAGACACAAGTCATATATAAAGCAGAGGCATTTAAACATTTCTAATAAACATTTTTAAAGTTAAATATTAAGGGGAGGTACTTGGGTCTAATGGTATCACAGACAGTACAATAAAAACTGATGTCATAAATAACAAACTGTATCCATTCAAGTAGGTATGACAAACTTCAGCTGAAGGCCACCACAGCTTGCCAAAAAAGCTGGGGTGCTGCACTCAATTGCAAGCACTTTTTAGATGCAGAGATGTTTCCCATACTTCTAAGCACACAGTACTTCATAGCATGAGTTGTAAATCTGGAAACAGATGAAATGTAATCCCATAATAAAGGTAAGAAAGTAATGATCTGTGATTCAGGATA